GGGTGGTCAAGAAAGAAGAAAAACCTTTAACATTAAGCAGATGGACCTCCCTCATTTTATACTGTGTATTGGGGATGACAGATAATCGTCTCCCCAAATATTTGATAGTATTGACCTTATTTTTCACATTAAAAGAATAAGGTTCAAGACATTATTTGTGAGGTGGAAACCTGGGAATGGGAAGGAAACTTTTTTGTATTCTCAACTCTGTGCTTGCCCCCCACTGTCAGGGCAATGATACAGCAGAAATTAGGTCTGGAAGGGTACACAGGAGCAGTGGTTGTACCCTTCTCTACCTGTAAATTCACACAGCTGCAAGCTACAGGACACTTCTTGACCCTTGGTGCCACTTTACTCTTTAGTATTTAAAACTGGCTTCAGAAACTGAATGTACCAAAGGAGAAACCAGGGAAAACTATGGGCCTTTTAAACATCTTTGTTTCTAAATCCTTGAGACATATCTGGAAACAGAGCATACAGGGGTAGGAAACAGGTAGGAAGACATGGTGGTCTCTGCTGGTCTGACTTTGGGAGAGAAGTTTTTGCTCTGATCTGGTAGTCAGTTTGACCATGAGTATCTGAGCAAGAAACACTGAACACCCAAGAAAGTTAGTACCAATAGATGCTATCTTACATCCCTAAGATGAAAGTTCCTTGCATCTCTCTGTTTCATTTCTTATAGCGGACAATCTCCAGTGAAATTAAAGGAAACTGAAATTCAGGCCGTTTCACCTGCATCCATGAGGGAAGGAAAATTTTTCCTTGTCCTGAAGACATCCTGTGTCGTGCATAGGAGTATGATATTTGGGAATTCAGAGCTCCAAACTCTAAAGGAGTATGTGACTTGAAGGAAGTTGTTCCATTTGCTTCACAGTTCTTTATTAAAAAATAGTAACGCCTTCTTTCTTGGCAGTCTTTCTCTGTGTTAAATAGATTCTTTGCAGAAGGAGCTGTCGTACTCAAAGTCCCATGCAGTAGTCAACTAATGCATCTCTGATCTCAGCTGCTAGGGCAATGTAAACAAATGCTGTTTTACTATAACAAAACGCTGCTTTAGTGATACTTTCTTTTTTTTTTTTTGTTTTAGAAGATTTGTGCCAAGCCTGATCTATTTCCAATGAATGAGGAAGCAACATTTTGATTGAAAGCAACTGCAAAAACCAACCTGCTATGCAAATCCCAAGCTTTCAGTTGGGAGTTCCCACATCTAGGGATTGCAGTTCACTCTAAATCCTGTTTGAGATGTGGACAAAAGAGTAAAGCAATGAACACAATGGAAGAAAGGTAGAAAGGTGACATAGTTTAAGAGTCTTCCGTGCTGACTCTAGGTGGTAGCTGGAGGGAAGACATCGTTCTTCTTTCTTCCCGTCATTGTTTTTGTTGCAGTACAGGGGTAAGAGTGTATCTGTGTTTGTGTCTTTTTTCCTGCCACATATGCGCAACACCTGCGGTTAATGAGAATCTGAGAGGAGGTCATTCTTTCTTTTTCTTTATACTTTTCATGCTAATTATTCTCTCTCCCCTTCCTTCTGGATGTACAGAAAACGAAAGAAGGAATTGAATTGGATTTATGCTTTTTCCTTCGTGTACCACTGTATGTGTCTGGAAAGATGTTATAGCAGTCTTCCAGTACCTAAAGGGGGCCTATAAGAAAGCTGAAGAGGGACTTTCTGCAACGGTATGTAGTGATAGGACAAGGGGACAATGGATTTAAACTGAAAGAGGATAGATTTAGATTAGCTTTAAGGAAGATATTCTTCACTCTGAGGGTGGTGGAACAGGTTGTCCAGAGAAGCTGTGGATGCCCCATCCTGGGAAGCGTTCAAGGCCAGGTTGGATGAGGCTTTGAGCAACCTGATGTAGTAGAAGGTATCCCTGCCCATGGCAGGAGGGTGGGGACTACATGATCTTTAAAGTCCCTTCCAATCCAAACTGTTCTATGACTCTATAATATTACAACTGGGTCCCTCTACCCTACCCATTTGCTTAAAGTTCCATTGTATTTTGTGGTTCCCAGGTCTTTTTTCTGCAGTGTCAGCAGAACAGTGGAAGATTGCATTTTTTTTCATGCAGGTTCTTTTCTTCATGAGCTTTCAATGCCCTGTGCAAAAGAAATTTAGTTTCAGAAAATGCCATTATCGAATTTATCCTGACTTATATCAGCAGAAGTGGCAAAACAGAGTGGTTTTGACTTCTAGCTCTCTGAAGTAGTTCATAGATTCATAGATTTCTAGGTTGGAAAAGACCTTAGAGATCATCAAGTCCAACCGTCCCTAATCCCCATTAAACCATATCCCTAAGTAGATCATCCACCCTATTCTTAAACACATCCAGGGATGGGGACTCAACCACCTCCCTGGGCAGCCTATTCCAGTGGCTGACAACCCTTTCAGAGAAGAAATACTTCCTAACATCCAACCTGAATCTCCCCTAAGCTTATACCCATTTCCTCTTGTTCTATCACCCATCACTGATGTAAAGAGCCCTTCCCCTACCTCCCCACCATCCCTTCTCAAGTATTTGTAGGCTGTAATCAGGTCTCCCCTCAGCCTCCTCTTCTCCAGGCTAAACAGCCCCGACTCCCTCAGCCGCTTCTCGTAAGTTTTATTTTCCAGCCCCTTGACCAGTTTAGTCGTCCTTCTTTGGACTCGCTCCAGGAGCTCAATATCTCTCTTAAAGCGAGGGGCCCAAAACTGGACACAATATTCCAGGTGCGGCCTCACCAGTGCCGAGTACAGGGGCAGGATCACTTCCCTGTTCCTGCTGGTTACACTATTCTTGATACACTAGTTAGTTCAGGTGAGCTTCTACCTATAGGCAGGGTAAGATTAAGGAAGTCCCTGAAGTATGTGCTTGTTTGGGACTGTATGCCCCATTTGATTTGGCTGTTCATTAAATGATCGCTTGCCAAGCTTTGTCATCAAAACCAAAATTGATACGAACAATAGTGTATGAAAATAGATCCAAATAGTTGTTGAAGTTCTTAAACTCAAAAATTTAAGAATAAACTGGTTTTGTCTGTTTGTTTAATTAGGCTTTACATCTTCCACCTCTGTGGGGATGCACTGTTCTAAAATGAGCTCTGCTGGATGAGGTAAAGATGTAAGTGTTGCACACTGATGCCTCCCAATGACCGATATAAAGCAGCACACTATATGTATTTGTAAAACTCTTCACCTCCCCCACTCATAATATCATCATTAGGTCATCTTTTAAAGTAACTGTTAAATTTACAATGTACCAGCCAGCAACTGTCTTTGTGTTAAATTCTCATTTAGCGTTGTGCAGTAATTGCATGTTATCAAGCGAGGGGGGACAGCTGCAGCATTTTAAAATGCATGTGCATGCAGCCAATAACTCTTGTATTTTTAACACAGTAGTAACAATTTCGTAGAAACTGAAATAATAGCTAGTATACTCCTGATCTTTAATATTAATTTAAAAAAATCAGTGGAAATGTCAATGTATATAAAATTCTATCTACTACCATATGATATCCAACAAAATCTTTTGTTGTCTAAAAAGTCAGTTGTGTTATTTGAGGAATACGTTCTCATTTTGAGTATTTTCGTACTTGAAAAAATAACATTCTCTGAAAGTTCTTACCTCTTTTTCTTTCTTTTTTCCTCTCACAACCGTATTTAAATAAGACCACCATAAACCAACTCATTTGTGGACACTGATTAAAAAATGTTCTATTTTAAGAAACAACCTAAAAATCCAAGAATTTGGCATCATCTTCCAGAGGCAGTATTTTTGGTTCAAGGTCAGACAATTGATCTTTAACCCACTCTGCGTAGCTGAAAGTGTTTCTTTAGTACAGAGATTGTCTGCTGATATCAGTCCTTTTTTGTATGCTTATATTGGTAGAACTTAATGAGATTACATATATTTTGATGAATAATTGCTGCCGTGTAAACTTGCCAGCTACCTACAGTGACTCTTATGAATATTTGATGATAATAAGTAGTAGGAACTTCACTGTGATGCTCACATGCACTTAAAAAAACAGCAACACAGGAATAGCTTTTGTTCTGCTTCTTTACTTGCTTTGAACAGTGTGATGTTTATATATGTGTTAATTATTAAGCATAGCTAACATCTTTCTGTTCTTAATCCTAGGAGTTCCATTTAAATCATAATTCTGTTGTTTTAGGAGGGGAAGGATGCAGGATGGAAGAATCAATTTTTAACATTTAGATTTCTATTTTAAGTTGAGGGAGGGTTGACTGGTCAGTCTCATGCTTCTAGCTGTGTATTAGCAGTTGAGAAAAAGGTAAAAAATACAGTGGAACATGCTCACCATCTTGAAGATGCAGCTGTGTTCTACAAAATCTAAAATTAGTATCTGTAGATCTACAGTTTTGTAGACTTCTGTGCAATGTCTTTGGTCTATCCAGTGTTGGATTATAGATCCTATAGGCAGTAGTTTTTTGTCGTATTAGGCAATGTCTGTAAAAAACAGGCATCACGTTTTACCGTTCTTCATCTGGTTTCTTTTTTTGTAGGTAATGTAATAGAGAGTCTGCACCTTGTATGTTGTTTCAAGATGTTTTTGTGTGAAGCTGGTATTGAAAACCACGTTCCTGATTTACTTGTGTTGAATTAATCGTGTTGAGTTGTGATACTTGGTTTTGTTTGCACATTCGAAAACTTACTGCTTTCATTATCCAGCTTGCTTTACAGACCATGTTCAAAATGCAAACTAATGTTTTCTAAGTTGCCGTAGCTTGTTTAATTATATATTTTTCCTTTTGAGAATTGCAGGGCCTGCTACACAGCTATATTTTTCCTTACTAAAGTGGTGAGAACAGCAGCAACAGCTCTGACATTTGTAGTTAGAGGATCTTTGTACTTAAAATGATCTGGCATAGTAATTACTAGAATTCTTTTTTCTAGTAGCTCCTGCATATTGAGAGTGTAAAATCTGTAAGTTTATTACTGTTACTGTAGTAAATTGCTTGAAAAGCAGTGCCTCACAGAACTTATTTTTCTTTCAGGGAATCAGTTTCCTCCTATTGCAGCTCAAGATCTTCAGTTTGTTCTGAAGGCTGGATACCTGGAAAAACGCAGAAAAGGTAGGTCTATCTTTGTGAAAACTAGTGCATGTTTTAGATCCGAGAAGTCTATGTGTCAGTATTCGATGCCATACGCACAAATAACTTTATACAGGAGTGATAAATAAAATGGAATGGAAACTGAAATGTTTAAGCATTATTATGCAAAAGAAGTACAATGCGTAATTGCTCCGGCAGTATTAAAAGAAAATCCTATTTCTTTATTGACTAAAAAAAAATCATGCTGTGAAAGTCCGCTGTCAGCGATAATTCAGAGACTTTCAGATATGTTTTGAAGAAAACATTAGGAACGTATGTAAAAGTACCATATGTTGACTTCATGTTTCAGTGAGCATCAAGATTTATTTTCCTTCAACAGGGCAAATATTGATCTCAGCTTTGGTTCAGTCAATATTTACCTTGATTCAATAAATCTTATATTGTCACTTTAATACCCACTTAATGCTGCAATAACTCTAGGAAATATTTAGGAAGTTGTTCATTATTTCCTTATATTTAATGTTACGCATGACTTCTCTCTTTTATATGATTTCAAATTCCTATTGGATTTCTTACTACCAATTTTTATTTCTAATTTCCTTCTTAGTGCCGTACATTTCTTCATATCCACATTTTGTTTCCTTTCCTTAGCAATTTTCCTGTCTCCTTCTCCCTCTTTCCTCACCCTTGAAAAGAAGTAACATATTTGTGTTCAATAACTCCATAAAGTGATATAACACAAATTATATTAATTGCAGACCACAGTTTTCTCGGCTTTGAATGGCAAAAGCGTTGGTGTGCTATCAGTAAGACGGTCTTCTATTATTATGGAAGTGACAAAGGTAATTATAATAATTATGATAAACTATAAAAACGATCTTTTAATGCACAGAAGAATATGAAAGCTTTAGCGGGGTTGGAAGCTGCAAATCTAAGGTCATTTTAAGAGAACAAATGAAACTTTTGAAAGAATAGTTGGTTCTTAAACAGTGCTGTGAATTTAAAAAATGTGTGAATATTTTTCAGAATCTGTAAGTGATATGCTTATTTTCCAAAGCAGAGAAACTGAGCAAAAAAGATTGTTACCTGCAAAGCTACTTTGTGTGCCAATAACAGCTAGCTATTAGGTTTGATAGTTTGCTGGTACTCGATTAATTTACTGCACAGAAAATGCTCTTTCAGTCCCAATAGGATTTTCATTTTAAAACACCCTCTAGCAATTATAGCTTTGGAGTTCATAAAGATAGTTCTTTCCAGGAAAATGTTAGTCTAAAAACCGCAGAGTGGAGTTCCATATTTCTTTCTAAAGAGCTTATGTTCTGAAAAAGCTAGAAATGATGTAACTAAAAGCTAATCATGGAGACTGTCGAGGCTAGCTTCTGAAGGTAACTTTTAATGGCCACTTTAGAAAGAATCTGGCATAAACGTTAAGATATAACTTTGAATTTTAAAAATTGACAGTCAAATAAAACATCCTTTAAATTGTGCGCCAAGTGTATTTGATATTTAAGAGTAAAACAAATCATACAGAAATATATCTGAGTAAATTTTAAAGTGCAATTCTGTATTTTTTTCCCCACAAAAGAATACTTATTCCTGGGCAAACTTTCCATTGAAGCTTTTTTCTTCTTCTTGTTTGTGGGACCCTACTTGAGATTAGTGCAAGTAGTTATTTTGTATTGTTTTATTCGAAAACTACTTTAGTTTGGTCCAGTTTGTTCCACTCTTCAATATGCTGGCTCATTTAAACTCATCCTCTCCCTGAAAAAAAAACAAAACAAACAGAAATAAAGTAAGCACCTAATTGTAAGTCCAGTTTTCATTCTGCTACAGTTTCCCATCATATTCTTTGTTTTCAGAGTTGATATTTTCAGAGTTTTCAAGATATACTTCTTTAGTATATCTGCTAAATGTTTTTTTCTTTACTCTTTCCTTGGGATTTACAGATTGATCAAACTTCAAAAACATAAACAATCTTACTTAAAAAATTTTGAGGAGATGTGGCAAAACACTAATTTGTCAATAATAATTTGTTTCTCTGGAAAAATATCTTGTGTTGTTTATTTATATATAGTTGTACATTATCTAGTACTTAAAAAGTGGCAATTTATTTGGTCAGAATATATGGCTAGTTCTTAAAGATTGTTACAGGTTTTTAAATATTTTGCTTTTCATCTGCTAGTTTTTGCAAAACCAAAAAAAGAAAAGAAAGAAAAAATAAAAGGCTTTGTGATTTTTACTTTGTTTCTCTTATGTCTATGATAACAATTATTTATGCTTTCTAGCATATGTTTTTTGGATTAAGGTAGGAAAACTGCCTACTTCCCCTTTTTCTATCTGTGTTTTTACTTTTGCAACAACCTGACTGTCAAGGCTACATTGTCGTTTCTAATACCTATGCTGAAAATTAAGAAACGTGCAAACATGTTCCCTAGCACTTGGCGTGTTGGTGTCATGTTAGGAATTCACCGTGATACACTATGGAATTTCTTTCCTTTATAGATCTATATAGACAGATGCTTTGGCTTATACATTTACAGCTTTTGTAGGCTGCAGATTGTTTGGGGAAGATCCTCCTGACTGTAACCTAATGATATGGTAGAAGCACATTAGTCCATGGAGCAGTTTTTGGGAATTGTATAAACGTGACTGAACTCTAAACGGTAGCTCATGGAGCAAGCAGACAAAGCTGCATGAATTTCTGGCTACCTCCTTGTGACTGGTGCTGCTAGCACAGAAAAACTAGCGAGCATGGTGGAATGGTATTGTCTTGCAGATCTGGGATGAGCAACAGTCACTCCAGAAGGTGCCTTTGAAGAAGAAAGCTTTTTCCTAGACTGATTTGAGGTACTTTCTTCAGCCTTTTGATGTCGTAGTACATTAAGGATTCCTGTTCCAATGCAGAATGAAGTTGCCATCATTGTGCAGAAACAGGACACCAGAGCCTGCTTTAGTTTCGTGGCAAACTAGTTTGCTGTTGAAACTGAGCTGTCGCGCTGATGGTTGTTAACATATATGCTATTGTTTATTATGCAGTTTAGCTGCAGATGTCAGCATGGATGAGGTGTGTGAGGAGGCAATCCTGAGGAGATTTAGCATCTTGTCACTGGAAGAACCGGAGGTCATTTTCGCTCTCAGTGTTAATGTCCAGCAGTGGTACTTGCTCTCGTACGCTGTCGTGTTGGGGCCCTTCTTCTTTTGTTGTGACCTTTGATGATGTACCAGATAACTTGGGCCATGCAGAAAACGAAGGTGTATTCTTACCAACCCTGGAAGAGTGGTGGAGCGTGCATCTGGGGGGCTTCATGCAAATCGCTGCTGCCTCCTGAACGGTTGGGATGGTGTCTGTATAAACAACGCCGATCTGCCCAAGCCTGTGCAGTGCCTGCAGATGTTTTGTATCAGCTGGTCCCTGGTTTCTGACAGGTTCCAGGGCTGATTCACACAGCCAGAAAATTCCCTCTTGTCGATGTGAACCCGGTTTGAAGAGAGACAGGGGAGAGGGGGATTCCTTAGGTGCCTGCGTCACGTTGAATGGGTGATGGAGCGCTGATGCCTGTGTGTTGTGGGACATAATGCAGAGAGGCAGCAGGGATTTCTAGCTCCTGCTTGGCTTGTTTTGAGTTTTGTATGTTTTTAAAACTGGACATGTAGGCGAATAATCTGTGAAGGATATTTTGTGTCTGGTGCAGTGTGTATTTTGTTGGCCAAGGTTTGATTTTCACGCTTAAATATCAGCGTAAACGTAACCGAATGCTAAACGTGAGGCTGTAGGATGACTTTTTGTTAGGCTGTGTAGATTTGTTGTTTCCAGACCACTTTTAATTCCTCTAACTTTCTCCTTTTTACATTGGGAAAGCAAGAAGTAGTATGGAAGTGTATCAAGCTCACACACACATATAAGGAGAAATCTCAGAACCATTTGTTCAGACCTGAATGATGAAAAATAAGAGCCCTAGTCCAGGATAATATAGTAAAAGCTAAAGCCTGTGAAAGTACAGTAGATGACTGTGTTTGTGTATGTGTGTGTGTTCACCTAAGTGTTTACAAGCATCCTTTTAACAGTTATGGTGTCCGCAGGCTAATGAATGTCTTGTTTCTCTGTTTCCTCCTCCGTTTTCTCATACGTTTGGTGCTGTATTGGACACTGAAACAGTGTTATTTATCCCTGCAATATAGACAGGTCTGAGTGAATCACCTACATTTTTTTTATTCGCTGATCAATGGTATGTGGAGTAAATGGAGGAATAAAGCTTAAAGGTTTGACCTAATTAAATGTCAGAAACAGGTGTGGCAGGAAGCACGTGTATTTTTGTGCTTGTGCTGCAATATCTGTTGCCAGCGTGTGCCCCGCAATGTTGCAGAGAAGCATGTTCAAATGTCAGAGCTGGTTTGGATTTCCAGAAGCTTGTCTGGTCCTCCTTTTCGTAGTCTTTCCTTCCATAAACCTTTTACAGTCCTTCTCTTTTCTTTGCTTCCATGCAGTTGCGTCCTGAGTTGGGTACTCTGTTTGCATATCGTTTTTCGTGTTCAGGCACCTAGGTGGTGTGGCTAACCTTTCGCACCTCAAAGTGCATGTGAAGAAGGAAAGTTAATTTGTTGCTTTATAAATGAATGAATTAATGGCTTCATTACTTCTTCATCACTAGGCCACAGTGTTATATGCCCTTCTGTCTCAGCAAACTGGAGAGATCAGCTAAATGTTTAGCAAGACAGTAATTGATAACATCATGGTAATTTTTCCCCTGTTAATGGGCACTAAAAATTTATTTTCATTTTTATAACTTGAAAACGGTATCTGCCTGCTTGCCAGTAATATGATGTTGAAGAGGGTGATAATTCAGAGGCTTTTAGAAAAGTCTGAGGTTTGTTTTTTTTTTCCAATTTATTTATTTTTCATTTTTAATAAAGACATGAAAATTTGGGATTTCTGTGAATAGTAAGATAGTGGTGGCCAGGCCAGTGGATGGACTACTTCTATTTGTGCAAAAGAGGATTTTTTTTGTTTTGTTTTATTTTTTTGAAGAACTTGGTGACTGAACAATATTAAGGGAGGAGAAAGCCTAGAGTTGCATTTGCAAATCTGTCCTAGTGACTTGCCTAACTAGGCTACTGGAATTTCTTTCACATGTGAGGCTTGCAAATTTCTCTTTCTAGGAGTGAGGAAAGATACACAAACCCAATGGAAAGCTGTTCAAGCATCATTTTGCTTTTAGCTACAGACCTCCTTCTCTTAGTCCTCCCTCTCTGAACAACCACATTGGAAAGGCAAAAATCCTTGTTTAGTTTAGACTTTTGACAGAATCTGTAACAGAAATCTGCGGGAATTGTGAATGTTCAATAGGACTTTGTTGTAGCAGGGTGACAGCAATCAAAGGCATCTATCTAATGAATACTGAGTCTTCTGCTCCAAGAATGTTAAATTCAGACCTCAAGAGGCACACTTGCCATAAATAGTGTGTTATTTCAGAAATAACTAATAAGTATAAGCAAACTGAATGTAAACAAACTGGTGCCCTAAATAGCATGTTTCAATCATTGCCTCCATTTCTTCATTTTTTTAAATTTAGATTAAAGGAAAGGAAAAAAAATAATAGTCCATTGCATTTTTGATCTGCTGTCTAAAAGGGAAGAACTTCTATGCATGCGTTTGGAAAGGACTGTTCCAAAAGCTGGAAAAGAAATTACCATTTTGGAGATATTGACACCTACTATTTTTAGAAAGCAGACATCCTGTGTATGGAAAAGCATGTGAAACTACATTTGTCATGAAGCCATGTAAACCGTAAGATCTTACAGGCTCCTAATTTCAAGATGAAGAGAGTTAAATTATAGATTCTAATACTATCTATAAATACTTTATCACTCTCTGAAATCTTTCTATTTGCCTTTATTCCTTATGCCTTTCTCTGTTACTTCTTTCCTTTCTACTATCTGAGTCCCCTCTGTTCTTCAGAACGCACTGATTCTTTTTACATGTGCTAATAATATGTGCACATCGCCTTAGGCCTCAAATTTACAACCCAATCATTTCAAGACCCCGTTGAAGGTTTACCCTTCTTTGTTTTAAAAGTTCCCATGGACTCAGTTACGCAAGGTTACTTCGAAACCCTTTTTCTCTGCTTCCCTTGAGACTCTTTTTTTCCCAATATAATATTGGCCCTGTTTCCGTTGTTAACATTTCACTATTTTTAGTATGAACAAAGTTTATATGTAAGAAAAATGTTTAAAGTGGCTCTCAAATTTCATTCAAATCTGTATTTTCTCTATTTTAAATATAGCCCCTCATATTTATTTCCCTCAAATATCTATGTACTAGTTTTGACTTTTTTTTTAAAGTACTTAGTGCCTGACTCTCCTCCACTCTGTTATATTAACTTTTTGCAATTCTAAATTCCTGACACAAAATTATCTACACAGACTCAGATTTATTTTTCTGTTGTGTGCCTGGAATGGGGAGAAGGGAAAAGGAGGAGGAGATGAGAGCAAAACCCAGCTTATTCTGAAATAAAATTTGACTGATTGTGGAACAACTTACACTTGATGATGTTCGCGATCCTTTTTTGTTTTTACAAGACTGATTATGCTTTTGCAGTAATGTAATTTTACAGTATTACGCTTTTGCAATTTTGTTCTATGTTGTTCTGGGACAACTTAAGGGTTTCCTGTTGTTGAATTGCAAAGCCCTATCTTGAGAAAACAAGAGGCAGCAAGAATTTTATCCTCCTTCAGAGAAGTGTGTTCTATCTGCATGTCTCTCCCTCCTTCCTCCTAAATATGCCGTTGTATTCCTGCCTAGGCAAAACTCCAGTTCTGATTTGAGGGTTCAAAATGAAAGTGAAGTCTCTGCAATGTAAATGTGCTTCCTAAAGCTACTTTTAAGGCTCCCACCATAAAAACCAACTATATCTAATTTTAAGTCTCCAAGTAAAATCTTTAAGTCTTCAGAGTTTTTAAACATCAAAAACTGTTTGACTCTTCCTAAAGCACAGTCTCCAGAAAATATTTCTGGTATAACTCTGAATGGAAAGTTCACAGAAGTCACTGTGGTACTAACTTCACATGGCAGCTTTAAACTGAAAGCCCAAGTCTATCTGCACGCCTAGTAAGCTGCAAGCCTTTGCCGATAGATGAAGTTGAGATGGTCATTTGTTCTGGTGATCACAAGATGGCCCTGCCTTCAAGCCTGCACCTGACTGCTGGGCCTGTCCAAACGGCTACCATGGGTCGTGATTTGCTCTGCGGTAATCAGGTGATGGGGTTGGTCTCCACTCCAACCTGGAAGGATGTATTCTGCCAGAGTAACTGGGGTTTGTAGACCTCCTTTGCTTGTCACCATCAGAGCATGCAGCTGAGCTAGAGCTGACCCGTGTCCTGCCGTTCCATATTTGTGGAGCTGTTTCTCAGGACGTGCTAGGTCTATCTCTGGCTTGTTGCCACAGGGAGTGTGAATGCATGCTGAGAGTCTTTCTCTCAACTTTAATGGGTTCTGGGTTAGGGCTGTGAAGTGTCTCATTGTCTTAAAATTTCCTTGTGGTCAACATTTTAAGCATGTGCATAATGCCACACTGGGCTTCAATCAGAGGCACTTTACTGCACAGTCAATTAGAAACAAAAGTAGCAATGCTATGACTAGTCTGTTGCTATAAAGGTCAGCGAAAGAATTTAATAGCAAAGGAGATTATTTGTTTTGGTGGTGTGTACAGGTGATTTTCATTAGCCCTGGAACAGCATATTCAGAGAGATAAGACAAAGACAGTATAAACAATAAAACAATCAAACGCAATGTGGATACCATGCACCGCGTTCCCCTTCCAGTACAAAGTACAGAGTCTTTCTGTTTTAACTGTAAGGCTCTTTGAAAGAACAAGTACCAGTACAGAGGTCATCTGAGACTAGCTCTGTAAAACTGTATTACCATAAAAGGGACCATCCACGTCACAGAGAAGCAGTCTCAGAAACAATCCAAGAGACTAAATTTGAATACTTGCCTCATTTTTATCTTGACAAAATGTTTCTACCTTTTGAACCTGGTATTTGTTTATTCTGTCTGTGTGCTCCCATCTTCTTGGTTTTTGATAAACCTCCAGCATGGGAGAGTGAGAAATTAATGTAGTTTCACTTCTTCTTCTCCCTGAGGTCACAAGTGAGGGAACAGTAAAATTTCTAGGCAGAAATGAATTTCATTAAAAGGGAACCTAGTTAACCTATTGCAAGTTATTATTTATAATATCTGCCTTGCGATCCCTTGAATTTTGCATCTGTGTGCTGTTTGATTGTAGGAGTGGAAGACTGAGCAAATATAAAATATTAGTACTGTATCATTAGTACTTAATTAAGGCATAATAAAACTTACTGTGGGAGAAGGGACTAGAAAAGAAAATAGAACAGTGCCCTGGATTTCCTCATATAATTGTGTTATTTAATATTTACTTGCCCTGGGTGAGAGTTCGTAAAAAGGTGGTAGGACGAAGAATTTGTGTCTATGTGCATGTCAGATTACTAGCAAGAGTATTTGTATGGTGACTGCTCTTGCATCCATTGATGTTCATGTTGCTTTGTTAGCCAGTTTTTGCCCTCTTAGGAGTGGAAAAAAAGGTTTGCTTTCCTGTTAAATTTCGAGAAAGGTGACAAAATTTTGTTGAAAATGGTAGTTTTTCCTGTTTTATCTGCTCTAGAAGTTTTCTCCTTTTGTTGACAAACATAAGCAATGGATGCTCGATTTGCACCTCAGTTCTGTTCAGCAAGTAGTTTTGCTGTTGTGACTGATGCTGATTGTTAATTAATGCTTTTCTCTACTGTGGAAAAACCCCATGCTTAATGGCATTTTCTTTCATTTGCAACTGCAGTTTGTTCTTTATTTGCCTGAGCAAAATGTGACTGATGATGCCGATCTTCACTCAAACGCTGCACAGTGATCTACAGAAATTTCAAAACAGATGTACTTTTGCTTTTTTGATTTATTTTTAATGTCCACCAAAAGATTCCAGAGCACATAAAATCAGATGTAGGGTTTGGTCTGAAGAGCTCAGAAGGAGCCCACAAGTGCCTCTTGCCCAACATGCAGTATATTTAAACTCAGGCCTGTTCTAAGTGATACTTTTATAAACCAGAACCTTTGAAAAGTTGAATTGTCTTTAAAACAACCACATGGCTCTACATAATAAACTGTGGTAGGGCTCAGTACTTTTATTAGCTAATTAAACATTTGCTGTGTTGAGAGAAATGCTTTTGGAACACACGCTTGAATTTATAACAAAATTCGTTCTGTGTTTCTGCCATGTGGAAAGGAGGCTCATCTGGGAGTGGGTGGGAGAATGTGGGGAGAAGCTTTTCCAATTGCTTGAAAAGGAGTTTAAATTTTATTTTTTGAGTGAAGTGGTTAGTTTAGGATGGAGCTCAGCAAGTTCTGAGCTAGACAGGTTTTCCCATTGGTTTACTGAACCTGAAAGAGACACTGATTTATAGGAAGCGTGTCTTGCAAGTTCCACTTCTTGGCTTTCCCTAGATACAAGTTTCGTAACATGCACTTCTTACTAAATAAGACCACCATCTGCAAACATCTCCCTGTGGAATTCCTTAGGCATCCTACAGAAAAATGTACTTTTGTGTACGTCTTCCTTTGAAATAAGGCTTTATCTCCAGAAGCATCACCTAATCATTTTGCTAAAAACCTCCCTGTTCTTTGTAAAATTCATGAAATGGAAAACAAAATCTGAATAAATGATAACCTGCTGAGCCACTTACGTTCGCTGCTGTAAATGAAGCTCTAACTTTGTTTTTTATCTCCAACAGACAAACAACAGAAAGGTGAATTTGCCTTAGAGGGCTACACCATCAGAATGAATAATAGCCTTCGGAAGGATGCAAAGAAAGATTGCTGTTTTGAAATCTCTGCTCCTGATAAGCGCATTTATCAGGTTGGACTTTTTTATGTTGACTTGAAATTAAATTGATAAAGCCGTTACAATTCCAGTTCATGAATTAACATTTCAGTAAAACAACTTGGACATCTTAATGAAAAAAGGAAACCCTTGCTTGCTTATATTGTATATTCATATATTAGGAAAAAAATCTGATTTAAAATATGTATGTACGTGTTCAAATATTATCTTTTTGGACAAGAGCAAGGAAATCTGTCATCTTTATCTATTGGTCATTTCAATGTTAGCATTTTAATATCTATTGTATAGTATGTCTGCATGATTTCTTGGATGAATTAAATAGCAAAAAAAAAAGTTGAAATATATATCAGTGTTAAATACATATTATATTGGTCATGGCTTTGCAAGGAAAATCTACGTAAAGGCACATATCAGCCGTGCAATTCGGAGATCTATCAGCTAGACATCAATATGGAATGTAAGTTTAATAAGTTTTAAATATCTGAGATTGCAGTTGAAAGCCGGTTAATTAAGCTGTCAGGTAGTGTGTTGGAGTCTGACAAGAACATTTTTAAGAAAACTGTACCCAGCAGTCTAAAGAAATTCATGGGTGTCTTCTAATTGTCAAGGGCAAATTTTGTTCATCAGTTCTGGCTTTGACATTGATGAAGAGAAGCAGCTTTTTTCTGCACAGCTGCCAGCTGCTGATCAGAGTTTCAAATCCATCATCCTCTCCTTCAATTACGTAAATTTGTCAAAATTAGCTGTACATTATAAGAAGCATCCTTGCAAGAAAAGTACCAGAAGACATGAAAAGAATTACTAATGGTTTCTTGAGGAAGTGATGAGAATGCTACAGTCTCTCTTTTTTATTGCTAATGAAATTGTTGTTGTGTTTTTGTCATTACTGGTAGTAGTTATTAATAAATGTTTAATAGTTCACAGCTGCCACTCCCAAAGAAGCAGAGGAATGGGTACAGGAAGTCAAATTTGTAATTCAAGGTAAGTCAGCCAATGGAGCAGTAGCCTTTATTGCCGATACTGCTTAGTGATGGTAGTTCTGTCCATTAACATGCCTGTCACGTTTGTATATCTAATATTCCCACTTGTCCAAGTTTTGAATAGCAAGTCCTAGTTCTCAGTCATGTCGTAGCTTTTACAGACTTTTCTCCTTTTGCAAGATTTTTGGGTTTTTTTTCCAAGAATACTTTTTAGCTTGAGAGCTCTTCCTTATGAACGCTGTAAGAAAATAAGCAGAGTATACTGTAAGCACCAGCTCATAGGAGATGAATTGTGTTTTCATTTTGCATAAATTTCTGCTTAGGCATTCTTTTCTAGTAAATGTTAACTTTTTAACTGCTGTTACATAGATATGGAATCTAATACTATTCCTGAGGAGGAAGAGGAATATGACGATGTTGAACAAGTGAACAATGAATCAGTAGATGATAGCATTTATGAAGAAGTTAAAGGTATTGGTGAGATTTTTTTATTTTGTGACTTGTGATCGTTTTGTCTTTTCTGCTTTTAGTTTGATAACTCTGAGTGGCTAAAAGTGAGTAAAGTAACCCAATGAATAAGATAGTTTCAGATTTCAAGTTTTGCTATGACATTGAAAAAAGAACGTGTCTTCAACCAGGGCTGAGTGAGAACAGTTCCGTTTTCTTTACCAGGGGCGTCAAAATAGTGCAGAATGTGTAAAAGTGGTCTCAAGGGACTTTTGGCTCATTAACATTCTCTGGTATGCAATTTTTTTTAATTAAAAAATTGACTTACCTTACAGCATTTTCCCCCAACTTGCCCATCATTAAACTTTATTCATTTTGGTATTTGTATTAAGCAAAAGTTTGCTATCACTCCATATGTTATCAGCTGCTGCCTAATACATGATATGATAATCCTGCAGGAAAGCAATGTGTTGGTTTGAAAGGGCTCTGGAGATGAACTGTAAATAAAGGCACCATTAAGTATTGGCATTGTGTTGTTTCATACCTTCCAGCATGACTGTGATTATACAGAAACTTTTTACTGTGGACTTCCTGATGTGGTCAAATTATTATGCCTCTAGATATCCAAGTGTACCTATCAAATGGCAAAACAGAAGAAAAAGAGCTTGGCAAAAGCTCTTGGAGTTGATTATAGACATTCAAGTATTAGGAGAAAGGTGGTCGTTCTTGATTGTATTTTAAGGTGCTATGAAAAAATCAATTTTTCCGTTACCATTAGTTAACAAATGATTTTTTTAAAGTGATATGACAACACTCAATTCTTTAAAAGCTGTCTTTTTTCGTTCAGTTTCTTTGTATTGTACCTAGACCACTTCAGTGCAGAATACATGTTCTGCTGAAAGGGGGTGCAGTGTATCGTGCATGCTGAAAAACTCTTCAGCAGTGAATATAAAAACTACGTTACAGGGCTTAATCTTATAGCTAGAGAACACAAACAAACCTTACTGCAGTGGTTTTGGGATGCTCAGGCTCCTACAGAAGGTGATCTTGTATGCTTGCCTGTGCTTTTGTTAAAGAAGCTCTAGCTGTATCTTGGGATATGTTACTCTTTTCTGAGCTTCACTTATGTTACCTGTTCATTTGAACCTCAAACAAGTATATCTAGAGCAGTAACACAAATGGTATCGGTAGAGGGCCAATAGTTAATATATGCTTTGAGTTCACAGAATTGCTGCCTTCAGAGGATTCTGCAAGAATTTAGAGTATTTAGAGTATTTTCAGTTATATCCCATTTTTATGTCAGTTTTCCAGGAACTGTTGTGTCCTAATGTGGCTAATAAATCTGAAATGTAAGAGAAGAGCTGTCACAGAGAAAGGATTGCTCTTCTGTTATTCAAGAAATCTAGTTTCAGTTTTCAGTTAAATGAATTTCTTTCCCCATCATCTTGGAGTCGTACTTCGTTTTCATGTTATCAAGTAGGGATTATTTCTTTATCTCATTCTTTCTCCCTCTTGTTTATTTGAATTATAAACTTTTTAGGAAGGACCATCTTACCTTGGACAGTGAAGCTCTTAATTTTAGCTGTGATGTGTTGACATAACTAAGTAAAAATAAAGCATTAGTTTGCAATACATTTTAAGTGATTAAAGCATCTTTTCCTCTTCCATAAACGTGCTTTAATAGTCATTTGCTTAAATGTAATGAAAAATTTATGGCTCTGATGTTTTAGAGCAGTCCTCCTCTTCTTTATTCATAGCATATTGAAGAGTATTAGATAAAGTGCTGGTTGACAAACCTCACAAGAGTAAGTCTTAGTTGGTTCATGTATAGCTGTTCATTTAACTTGATGGTAAAAGACCATACTCCACTTTGGTCTCATCTGGCTTAATTAGGCCTGATTGCTTGCATTTAATTCCAGTTGACTGTCCTTTCTGTTTTCCCAGGTAAGTGAATTACTCTTTCTTCCTTTCATGGTCAAAGGGTGGAGCATCATTATCCCTGCTGTTACCTGACTTAATAATACAGAGCAAATAAGGAATTCTGAATTCCTGTTAAGAGAACAGAGAAAAAGAATTACTTGCACAGCTCAAAATCTATGCTGAGCTCTCGAATGCAGAAGACAAATATGCTAGATTATTGTGAAGAGGGAGAAGAAATTAATCCTCACTTTGTTTTTATCTTCAAAACATCTTGATATTAGAGATTTCTGATCCTCTATTTCCACGGATCCACTAGCTTTATAAATATTGAATTTCAGGTACACAACTTGTTGTACTTCATGATTATTTATTTGACTATAATTTCCAATTTCTTAAGTAAGTAAAATTTTGCGTTTCTGTCATTCTCCAGTGTTTTTTATATCACCAGTTCAGAAACAAATTAAGCTAGTTCATGATGCAGTTCATTTTGTAATATTTGGTTTGGTATTTGAATAAAGAGTGTTTCGATTAAAAAGAGGATATGGAAGTTTTTGCATAATTTTGAAAACTGGGAATTTTGGAGAACTGTTGCAGTAATCAGAACTGACTGATGCTGTATTCTCTAGCTATCACATTGCTTAGCTATTTTTTTCCTCTGCTTGTGGCAGGAGATAGTGTAGATGAATTTTCCAGGCAGGAGCTGAATAGCTTCAAACCAGTATCTAGAACGGTAGCAGTCTATTAGCGTTTTGAAAGCATAGATTTCAGTGGAATTCAGTTTGTACTGTCTGCTGGCAGGAGGAGTGGGTTGCTAGTTGGGGATAGGGTACAAAGAGAGGTGGGAAAAATACTCTTTTGATCTGTTAAGTCGCTTTTTTCTTTAATAGCACATACAAATACATATTTACCATAGAAATATTGTTTTCCTGGTTCTCAGTATTAGTCAGTGTTTTATTGTAGTTCAGGTAGAGTCAAAAACGTCAGAACTGCCAAATATCTCCCAACTTGTAAAACCTTCATTGCAAGATTCTTCGGAAAAAGAAAGAAAGCTTTATATTGTCTTCATCAAACTAAGCTTTTGTCTTTTGTTTTTGTGTTTTTTTTTTTTAATAAAAACACAGAGGAGAACTTGGTTAAGCAAAATAAAAAATATTGCAAATAAAGGCTCATTTTTGCTTAATTAGCTATTTATTTTCTTCCTTAGTACACTCTATATATTTCAAGTCCACAGCTGGGTATTATAAGCTGTAGGATAATTTCTAAAACTGTACTATTTAATAACTCTGTGTGTGTGTAGAGCTACCTAGATGCAGAGTTTCTAGCTTAGTGGTCTTTTAAACAATGGAATTATCTTTGTCAGAAGAGAGAACATGTGCCAGCTTTAAAGATGATGTCATCTGTTCCAACCCTTGACCAAATTTTTTTATTAACTCAGAGTTTCAGTGACACAATTTTTAAGAGCTTTCAGTATTGTCTTCTGTGGTTTCATATCTGTATGGAGCACATACCCAACACTGCGATGCTAACTACTACCTGCCACCTTGATCCTTTCTGCAACCTCAGCTCAGTTTGTGTACTGTCTACAATACTCTTGTACAATAGGAGAAAAGAGGTGTTAATCTAAGATAAGTAAATTATCTTAATTTTCAATCTTTTGTTGTCTTTTTTCTTCTATTCTCTTTCTGCTCACAAACTTGCATTATAGTGGTAGCTTCCATAGTGTACAGTCTTTCCATTAAAATGTTTCTAAAGATAAGATTTGATTCTTACTTTGGTGGTGCTTAGTTGGTGCATGGAGGTAAAAAGCTGCCCCTACAGAATAGGTAAGATTGGAAATCCTGAAGCAATATAATGTGACACAAGGCTGGCATTGTTGGCTTTGTGCCATCTCTTCTTAGCCTGGCCACAGCAGAGGGCACTTTCAGGTGGCAGAGGTGAAAGGACAGTGAAATTCAGCGCTGTGGTGATCTCTAGCCAGGGGAGCTGCTGTGAAGAACTAACCCAGCCAACGCAACTTGCATCGGTTCTTGGTTTGTGGTAAAATTAAATTTTGGGATTGATTCAATCTCTGATTGAGCTAAGGATCATAGTCCAGCCCCGGTATCTGGCCGGTAGTTCTCTTTTGCAGCTTAGTTGGAAGCTTAGCTAGGGAAATTGTAACTATGGCAAAGCTCAGAGAAAGGTAAAAAATGTCTTAAGTTTTATACAACAGGAAGTATGCTATGCAAATAAACACTTCATCTTGTTTACTTATTTTAAACAAAGTCTTTTAAATAGTTTTGAAATTATATGGGTGTTATTTCATAACTTATTTCTGACATTTTGCGTGAAGGTAGGGAATGATCATCCATTCTGTCTCATGGTTGTCTCTTTAAGCAGCTTTGTCGTCTTAATTTTATCTAACAGTTAACCTCTGCAGTTAAGCAGCGTAACTTAATACCATCCTTATCCTTTCTTGTTGCTAGATTACTTGAATTTTGAAGAAGCAAATTGTTTTTATGATGGTGTACCCCTTTCATGAGCATAGAGGGGAAAGAAAAGAACATTTGATTTACCTCTGATTTACCTCGTCTTGGGAAGAAGGAAGTAAAGATTATGTAGTGGAGTTTGAGTGTAAGTTTGATCTGTCACTCATGAACACTGACTCATAACAAATATTTGTATTCTTAAAATGTACTGTCAGATGTATTGACTTTTTGGCACTAGAAGTGAAGATTTCACAGTGCTGTGTTAATGAAAATACTTTTTCAAGAGACCTTTGCTTATTTTAGAGTTTTCAATACATCACAGTCAGGGTCTGTGGGCCCAACATAGCGTTTGGTGTCAGGCAGTCCCAGTTGTGGATTACATCTGTATAATAAGTTCCTAAAAACCAGTAAGCTAAAATGAAGAAATTGTTAATTGGTCATTGTAGACCAGAGCAGTAGGTTGAAGTCAGCAGAGACACAGGTGACGGTGGAATCTGAGGCGTTATGTATGATCATTGCTATTAAGTCGATCTATTACATATCCCGGTATATTGTCCAAATTCCTCCCAACATTTGTTGCTTGTTTCAAGTAGTTAGGGAATTCTTTACTACTTGTCCACAGAAGCTGTATATAAT